CTGTTAATTCTCTAATTCTTTTATGCATGTTAAAAAAGTCATATTTTTTCTCAATTTCTTCTAGTTCTTGGCACTGCTCATGTAACATTCTCTCCTTAGCTTCTTTTATTCTCTTTTTTATTAATCGATCAGTTTCATTATATTTAATTGGATTTTTTGTTTTGAATGATTTTCTTTCATTCATTAATAGTAGTATTTCTTCAGTCATCCAATCTTTATGTTTTCTATTCTTTGGTTTTAAGTTTTCATTTGCTGTTTTAATTATTGCTGCTTTTATATTTTCCCATTTCTGATCAATGTTATAGCTACTTTTATTCAGTTCTTGGGCATTACGTATATTTTCAGTAAGAGTCTTTACAGTTTGTTCCTTTGTTTGTGGTTCCCTTAATCTCTTAATATCAATTCTACTTTGTGTGGGTTTTTTAACCAGTTTTAATTTGGTTCGTAATGTGACTACTATGGGGTTATGGTCTGAACCGATGTCTGCTCCAGGGTAAGTTTTGGCAGACAGTATAGAATTACGAAATCTTTGTCTAATAAGGACAAAGTCAATTTGATTTCGGATTATTCTATTCGTTGTATCACCGGGAGATTTCCATGTATACAACCTTCTTTTTGGTAGCTTAAAAAGTGTATTAGCTATTACAAATTCTTCCGTCTGGCAAAATTGTATCAAACGGTCACCACGTTCATTTCTATTTCCTAGACCATATTCCCCCACATATCCATCCACTCTTCCCTGGCCAACTTTGGCATTGAAGTCGCCCATTACTATTGTAGTGTGATGTTTTTTCATTGATTTTAAGACTTGTTCCAAATCATGGTAAAACAGTTCGATATCGTCGTCATCTTTATCTGCCGTAGGAGCATAAACTTGAATAAAATTTACTATACCTTTTTTAGACTGTAGTTGTATTGATAAGATCCTATCAGAATAAGGAGTAAAACTTATCACAGAGTAATTGACCTTTTTTGCAACTAAGATAGCAACACCGTAACGATGATTGACCTCGTTGTTACCTGAATAATACATGGTTCCATTATTTGTAATTTGTTTGCCTGAACCTGGCCACTGTACGTCACTTATACCTAAAACATCAATTTGGAGGTTTTCCATTTCAAGCAGTACGTTCGCTAATTTACCACTTGCATATAAACTTCTGACATTCCAGGTTGCTATTTTCAATGTCTTAAGTCCACAGGGATTTCTCTGGTTTACGACCTGGGAGGCCCTGTGATCTACAGTTATTCCTCCCCTGCCGGATCTTGGATTCCGTGCTCCATAATCAGTAAGTTTGTTTACTCTACTTGTCATTTGCCATTCATGACTTTACTAGGGGTACTCTAAGAGTCTTTAATGCAGTGGTTCCCCGTTGCCTTCTGCATCCTTACGCCGTTGACATATTTTTCGATTCATCCGCCTTTAGGACCAGTTTCCCAACCCTTGGACAAAAGAGTGCCCTTCCACTTATTAACTCATCCGCCCGCAGCCGTTGGTCATAAGTGGGGGATTGCTTATACCGGCAATCATTCGGTGAATTACCTGTTGGTCCACGGGAGGTATTTTATTTCCCTCCTACCCACCGGTAAACCGGGTCGGGCATTCCCTATCCGCCACCTGGGGACGCGCTCTCTAGAGGTTACAGGTTCCTCCGAGAGTGATTCTTTATTAGGTCCTTAATGGGATGTCCAGATCATTGTGAATTGTTTGGTTAGATATATACCATGGAGCTTTACTTATCATACTGATTATTTTGGATTGGAATGTTCATTGTATCTTCGTATGTGAAGGTTTACTACAGCCCCATAGTTCTATTCCATATTCCCAAACTGGTATGGTTTGTAATTGAACTAAATGATTTTGTACTTTTTGTGATGCTACAATAGGGTCGCTGCTGCTTGGCAGTGGATGCCAAGATCTCCATCATCATCAACATTATCATTCAATCTTCGCTTATCCACTGCTGGATATAGATCTCCCTCATAATTTTCCATCCATTTGGATCCTGTGCCTTCTTCTTCTTCATGTGCCTTGTCCGTTCCGAACGTTAGCAATCAACATGGCTATTCTGACTTTGTTTACGGCAGATCTGAATAGTTCAGCAGATGACAATCCGAACCATTGCTGCAAATTTTGGAGCCACGAGTGTCTTCTCCTCCCTGGATCCCTTCTGCTGTCTATTTTCATTTGAACGATCATCTTGTGCCTCTTGCATCCAATTCCTATGACAACATTTTAGATCGGTTTAGATCAGTGGGGGTTGATGGACGACCTCTGCTTCAGTAGGCATCATCTCTTGGTCTCCATTCTAGTATTCGCTTTGTCCATCTATTATCTGTCATTCGAGCCACGTGACTTGCCCAGTTCCATTTTAGTGTTGCTACTCTCTCTACTGCATCAGCCACTCCAGTTCGTTGTGGTAGCTGGCGATTTGGGATCTTGTCTCGTAGTAAAACGCCCAACATAGCACGTTGCATCGCCCTTTGACACACACGGATCTTTCAAGATCAAGAAGATCCCCGTGGCATCAGCAAAAGTAGCTAAGAAGGTAGGTGGAACGTCTGCTGTAAATATCAGATACAGAAATGGGCCAAAAATGTCATACTGTGGTATAATTTTGTTTATGGGAACAACTTGCTCGATTTTATGTAATAGTAGCCTTCATAATACTTTCAACATTATTAGGAGTGGGCATATAGGGCGATATGAAGTTGCTTGCGTTGCGGGCTTACCAGGTTTCGAAAGCATAGTTACTAGAGCAAATTTCCATTGTATTGTAAAGTATCAAAGACGTAGTATGCTGTTGTATATTACTGTTAATAACACCACTATTTTCTGTGTAACTTCTAAAGTAATTTTCCTATTATTAAATCATAGTCAGGAGTTTTCTTAGGGTTCAGCATTTTTATTTCTTGTCGAACCTATGTCGGAGTAAAAGTTGTCAAAGAAAGAGATAATTGACATGAAGTTTAAAGGTACATTCTTTTATTATTTTATTTATCTTTATGAGTATCTGGTGCTGCGAATATAGTTGCAAAATGCTCTGCTAATACTGTGGTTTTTTTAGCATTTGTGCGGGCCCAGGTCAAATATCTGTTTTTCTTAAAGGTGAAGTTGTTAGTTTTGGTCATTTAAATTTTTTTGTAGCTTTCCGTATAAAGTGGTCTTCATGTGAGAGGTTTAAAAACATACAACTGGAAAAGATCTTTTTTTTTTCCTATATAATACTCTATTTAGTCTATAACTTATTCTGTTAAGGTACGTTTTATTAAATTAATTTCTTGTTTATTGCCATATGTGTCGAGCTCTTTTTTTTGCTACAATTTCTCTTATATAGGGGAGATATTATGGTTTTTTTGCACACTACTTTGGCGCTGTGGTGTTGCTTTCCATCCTGTTGTTTGTAAAACTGTTGTCTAATAGTCTACTGCTTTCTCTTCATCTTGGTTTTCTTTTATTCTAATATCTAGTTTATTCTTTGTATTTACAGAATTTTAGAAAACATATTAGTTTGTTTCTTAAGTTGTGACTTTGGGTGCCGTTCTCCATATTATATATGTGTAGTTAAGGTTATTATTATTGTGCTGTGATCTGATGTTAAATCTAAATTTGACTCTATTGCACTATGGATGTCAACTATCCCTTTTGTTACAGCAAAATCTGCCAAATCTGGGTTTTCTTGGATCCGTAGGCCAGTAATTAAAAGAAATAAAAATTAGTGTGATAATCCCAGTTATTGGCTATATAACATAGGTAAAAAACTTATACAGAAGTAAAAAACTTCAAAATTTGTATATTGGTGTAAAAACATTTATTTTACAACTTGTTAAAAGTATCGTCCAAAATTTATAAATGCATAACGTTTTCGATCTAGCGCAGATTATCCTCAGTGCCTTCTTTTGGTACCTGTTGCTAACTCTAAAATTGCAGTGGAAACATCAATATGTTGTTTTACATATTTAAATTTAAATTATAATGCGACCCTAGGTTGGTGACAATAGTTAAAGATTTTAATACTTAAAGAGCAACATGTTTCTTTCCTCGACTTGAACACGTGGTTTTTGTCAGTTAAAATGACACAGACCAACTGGCTGAGGTGACAAGAAGTAAAATTCAGGAAGACAGCATTACACAAATACTATTATAAAATACTATTACAAAAATTTTTATATTTATAAAATATTACATTAGTTTTTGATGTGACGGGACAGCTCTTTCGAGGCGACAGACTCAGTAAAACGTAGGTTGAAATAAAAATAAATATATTAATTTTAACGAATATACAATGAATAAAAATTAAACGTTTTCTTTGTCCCCGTCTGGATCCCGCGAGAGTAAACTCCCTGGCGAACGTCTGTAAAAGAAAAAAAAAATATTATTCCTAACAAAGAAATGAAATACGCGAAGTCGATCTCACGTGGACTTATACTCGCTTCCACCTCAATTCAGCGGAATCTCCAAACGCACTTGCAGTCAAAACATTCGGCTGTGCAGATCCACGTTGACGGTAATATTCAATTCACGATACCGATGGGTTCTGCTTGGTTAAGGACAGAGTACGATCCTCAATGAGGAAGTCTCTCTGTCCTGGTTGGCTCACAGAGCACCCAATTCTGCCAGTCGCTCGCCTTAATAGCCGTTTCGGATCCCACTTCGGAGATGGATGCGCGAATATCGACACTTCCACGGTTCGAACTGTTAAACGATTATCACATCGTTACACTAATCATACCCATACCTCGTCATGTTCATTGTCTTCCTGAATTTTACTTCCTGTCGGAGGTCGAGATGGAGGCCCGCGTTGCTTCGTGCAAGCGCCACCCTCAAATAGTGTCGGACCCGTAGAGGTTAGGGGCTAGAAAAGGTCATATTCTGAGGTGGACCTGGATACCGCTAATATTTTATATATCAGACATATACGAATTACCTATACTTGACGGACATACTGTATATAATACCATGAAAGTTCTTATTGGTAATCTGTAAACATCTTTTTTAGATTCTTCCCAAGTATTAAGAGCATTACGGAACTATCGCAGTCTTCTAACATGAGGTTCATGCAGTTCAGAGCTCACGACAAGTATGCCTTACATCTGTCCAAAATGGAGAAGGTAAGTTTTTAAACGACGAATAATACAAATAAGCAAGTTGAAACAGTAGAACTAGACACTTTATTTTCACTAATAGAAAAAATATTGAGTTGCAAAAAACAAAAAATATTTATATAGTGTAAGTATTTATAATTTTGACAATACTAGAGAAACCATTGAGAAATCGGAAAGAAAGATTTGTTTTTTTTTTTTTTTTCTTAAAAGGATTAGACAACTTAGTATTTCGTGTGTAAATATTACTATATTTTATTTATTTAGTTTAAACTATGGGTATTTGTGCAGATCTGTAATTTTCTTTCTTCTGTAGTAATTAATGATTATTTGGGTAAACTCCTTAATCTAATTTTATACAATATTATTAAGTGCTTAGAATAGTCTGCTTGTTTTTAGTGTATATAGTAAAAATTTTTTAAAGCAGCCTTTCTTTTATATCTCTTTATCCCGCGGGCACCCATCATCGATATTTACTACAGATTCTTCAGAAACAAGATACTAAAAACAAGATTCTTCAGAAATATAAATAGGGTACTTACTTACTTTCCGTGTCCGGAACACCAACAGCTTTAAATTTTTTTCCAATGGTTGGCTACAAAGATGACCCTGTCTTTGGCTAAGAATGGGTCATCTTCTGTGCAGGTCTTAAATGATAGTAGATGATGACTATCTTGAACCGCACCACAGTCGCAGGTATCGTCCTCCTAGTATCCCTATTTCTTCTTAGTCAGTTCTTAGTTTGTTTAGCGCTTTCCATGTGGGGTACAGCTAATTGTGTCCAGCGGCTATTTCCTCTGAGGGAGCAAAATGTGTTGTAGCTGACGCTTGCCATGGGTGTATTCGTCTTGTCTTTGGCTCTTCAGGAAGGGATTGTGATTTTTTCAGAAAGATTTTACGAGATTTTAATCTAGTTGGCTGAACTTGATGGTCATACAAGGTGTGTCTTCGATCCGTCTCCTTCTTCTTTCATTTTATCTCTGATTCCAACTATAGGGTAGACCTCTTCGATAGGTGTCGGTTACCTCATCGACGTTTTTAGCGTGAGCAGAGTTTTTCCACACTGGTGCTTCAAACTCGGCGGCATAAAAACATAATGCTAAGGCAGAAGTACGGAGAGTGTGAGGTTGTGCTCTCCATTTTGTGTTTCTTAGTTTGCGGATGATATTATTTCTAGCACTTACTTTTTTCTTGATATCTTGACTGCGATATCGATAAGACAGAATTCTATCGAGACATACGCCGAGGTATTTTGGCATATCATTGTGTTCCAGCATCTGACCATGCCATTCCACCTAAAGTGTTCTTCGGGCATGCGTGTTTCTAAGGTGGAAAGTACACACCTGGGTTTTTGTAGGATTGGGTTTCAGATGATTTTCGTCATAGTATAGTGCTATGTCTTTTAGGGCATCTGTTAAGGAAGTCGAACTTCGACTTCATTAAAGGTACTTCCCTGATCTGCCACAGCTTTATCTGCGTAAATAAACTATCTTGTTTTTTTTATTTTTGTTTAGGGCCACCACTCTAGCTTTCCTCCAAATGTTGGGGATTTGGAATGTACGGACGCAACAGTTCATTATTTTTACGAGCCACTTTAGGGTTTTTGGTCCAAAGTGCTTTATTTGTTCTGTTCGTATATCATCTAAGCCAGCCGCTTTATCATCTTTCATTTGGTGGATCGCACCTCTTATATCCTTCAGACAAAAGGAGGTACCTAGAACATTCTCTTCTTCGTCGATATTGTGTTGTACTCTCACATTGTTCTTCCTTGATGTCGATTTACCATTTCAAGAGACGATTTCAAAAGACGATGGGCTATCTGATTAGATGTAACTTTTGTCAGATTGGGTTAAAGGCGGCCAAATTGTTGCCAACGAATAAATTTTCGTAATATTCGTTTTACAATTTGTACAAATTTATCGTATGAATTAGAGCATGGTTCTAGCTGGGAAACTTCTTGATCTAATACTTTAGCGAATTTTTGCTTTATTGAAATTGAACCTTCTCGTGAAAGAAAACAATGTCGTATCTGATTGCCGCGTTCAAAAAGCAAGTTATTGGTCTGTGCTGTGTTTTTAGGAGGGCGCTTCTAACAATTTTTGTCACCTGATCTCCAATCCTGTAGCTGACAAATATATTGTCTAGGTTGTAACCTCTGCGCCATCTTCCGCTGTTGAAAGACCCGGGCTGTTTTGGATCATGAATAAGTTTAAGTTTCATGTTTTCAGCACATTTTTCTAGTTCTTTGCCATTGGAGTCTGTTTCGTTATACCCCACGCAATACTATGACAGTTGAAGTCATCCAAGAATTTTATTTGCTTTGAATGAAAGTTATTTGGTTCCTCAAAAACAAAGTCAGCGTTTGGCGGTTTGTAGATGGACGATACCGTACAAGACTGTAGTTCCACTGTGAGGATTTCGATGTCATATCAATATGTTAAAGATGTGGAAACTATGTCGGTATCTGGTCTGACGAAGACTGCGTTACCATGCTGGTCATGTGGTCTCTCCAAAGTCTCAAACCTCGAATCCTTGGTCTACGGCTTGCAATACCTCGATGGATTTCTTGAACCAGTACGACATCGACACCATGTTCTCTGCATATATTGTAACCTCAGAAATCTTTTTTGGGTGGTGCTAGAAAGATAACCAATGGAAACACTGCGGACGGCAGCCAGATGGTTGGTGGAGAGCGAGTCGTGGGTTCGAAACTAGCTTTTGGAACCGAGAATGGATCCAACGGAAGAAATAGGTAAAGATAGGATAAGAGATATTAGAAAAGATACAGAAATAAACAAAAAGATAGATGGGTAAAATTACCAAAGATAAGAGAAGATAGAAACAGGGCGCCACTCAATTTTTTTGGGGTTAAAGAGAAAATTAAGAAAACCCTAGAAAAGAAAAGAGATAAGAAAAGATATTTAGGTTCAGAGATCAAACCCAAGGAAAGATACCAACAGTAAATTATCAAATAAATCTGGTCAACGCAATATATAAACAAATAATAAATATATTAAGTATTACACTTACTTACCTACTAAACTTAATCAGCCTGATCTTTCTACAGTTCAAAAGCATAGTAATATTTAAAGATAGTAATTGTTCAGAGCTATTATTTTATCAGGGAACTTGTTAGGAGCCGACAAATAAAATACATGCATAAAACAATAACAATATATTAAACACAAAATTATGATGCTGCTAAATGCAACACAAGTAATAAAAATACACAACTATGAAATGGTGTTATATGTATAAAATTAAGCAATAATATAATAAAAAAATACCTTTACCAAGATGTATAAGGCAATCATATACAAATATAGTTTGGCGTATCTCGAGATATCATAGGAAAAATAATGATAATATAATATATGATAATATCATAGATAATATGATATGATAGATAATATCATAGGAAAAATAAATAATAAATTTACAAAAAAAAACAAAAAGGTTACAAGAATGAAAACATAAACCAAACCTCACTTGGCTAAGTCAATTAACTATCTCGCACTATTATTTAATAAAAAACTAAGACTTGTATGTTCATAGGTAATATTTATAGAAATTTCTTGAATGGTTCAATTACATTCAAAAATCGGCAATCTTCAGGTGAAGATATAGATGATACGTCCAGATAATGCCAGGTGATATGGTACCATACCATATGACTCGCCCAGATAATTGTAGATAAAATTACTTACAGTAGATCTTGACGAACACAGCTTAATTCACTGAATTTAATACTTTTCTGGTACTAAACACTGAATTTAATAACCATTAAAGGTAGTGTAGAACTATATATAATTTAATATAGTCTAAGGAAAGAAAACTCAAATATAAAGTGTATATACACTTAGAAAATAATTCACAGAAAGACGATACGATAAGAAATAAAGTGAGCAAAGCGTAACACGAGATATTGGCCTTAACTCAACAACGGCCCACCAACAAGTAACTTGGTTCCACTCAAAATTTCACCAACTGTCCCTGAAAAAGGAAGAAGAAAATATTCCCCCACTCAAGAATGATAGGATAGTTGTATGTGTTTCTCAGAAGGTAAGGCCTTAACGACTATTGGAAACTTTGAGGTAAAATAATCGGTATTAACAATTGGACATAAGAAACAGACAATACTTGGGATTAAGTTATTGTCAAAAGAAACGGGCCTTCGACGAAAATTACCAATTTATGAAAAGGAAACTGCATACCAAAACGCATTATACTCTTTTCTTAATGAATATTATGAGGGAAGGATTAAAAACCATTCCTAATTGGGGAATTCCATTTTAGCTGGGTATCTACAATATTTTGCTATCGATACACGATCATAGGCGTATCGCACGGGGGTAAAAGGAATTAGAAATATTTAATATATTAATAATAAAAAAAATGTTACAATATTAGATAGTAGATCTTCTTTATTTGCTAGTCCTTCAATATTAATTGAAGTAATTATCAAAAATTGCCTTGACAAAAACCGTTTTGGTTGCGTTTGTATATGTGTTGGTGCACCGGTAGTGAAAGGATTAGCCGACATTACTTATTTCCAGGGGAATGCGAATTTATACAATTTATTTCTCAAGCTTTTACAATCTGGTTTTAACATTTATTTTAATTTTTATTTGTTAGCTAGTGTTTCCTACTGTTTATTGATTTTTTCTGCTTGGCGCGTAATATTCGACACTTTATTTACCCTGGTATTACCCTTCCGAAATCGTTCTCGATTTCCGAAGTGGAAATTGAAACGTCAATAAACGTATTTTTATCTTTAATTGTTGCTTATTCCCAGTTAAATAATAATTAATCCTTCGCATTTGCGTCTAATTCTGTTGTGAGGTATTCTTTAGGAAAATTTTTAGAGTGTGGCTCATTAGGCTAACTAGTCAATATTCTGAGCATTTTCTCGCATTTTTTTTAGGTATTGTGACAAAGTTGGATTTTAGCCAATCCACAGAAGTATCCACACATCAATCTCCCACTCAATCTCAACCTAAAGATTCAGA